CCTCACCTGGCTCTCATGTATGTTACTTTAAAATAATGTTTTTTTGTCTGTCTTGGATGTGTTCTTTTTCATTTTTAACATTGTCTCTTTTTGTGTTTTAAATTAGATTTCTTTTTTCTGTTGACCCATATTCAACCATATAGCCCTTTCCTCTATCTTGTTTAATCTGCTGTTATTCTCAAACTTGTGATCCTCCAGCCTTAGAATTCTGAGTAGCTAGAACTACAAGGAAAGGATAATATTCCTGGTGCCCATGGAGGATTAGCTTTAACTTGAGGAAGGTCTCACTTAGCTCTGGAGTTTTTGTCTCAGGTCTGCCTCCCCCCAGCTTTATCTCTTAACCCTACATGCTTTTAATAAGATGAGCAAGAAAAATCTGAGCTAGACATTGTGGTTTGTGCCTGTAATCCCGAAAGATCATAAATTCAAGGGTAGCCTGGGCTTTTTAGCAATTTAGCAAGATCCTGTCTCAAAATAAAAAGAGCTGAGGTGACCAGCAGAAAATCTGAGATACATCTATCCCAGCCCTCTGGGCTATTGAGGTAAGAAACCCCTCTGTGGTGGGGGGGACGAGAGAGGAAGGAGGAGGGGAGGGGGGAGGGAGGAAAGGAGGGGGAAAAGGGAGGGGGGAGGGGGAGGAAGAGAAGGAGATGGAGAGGGAGATTGAATACCAGTAACTTGCGTAGTAAATTGGTTATAAATTTAAAAAGATCTGTGGTGCAGAAAACTGGAAGTATAAAGAGGTTTTAAGTCTTGTCTGTGTTCGGATCCTATCAGTGGATCACTTTTTGTGTAATCCATTTTGATTTATTTCTCTCATCTGTGGCCTTCAGTGTTTTCTATGTGGGACAAAGGTAGTCAGATTTATTAAAGCATAATTCAGTGTTGGTCATTTTTATTGTGTAATTTGTGTCTCCTTTTCCATCACCTTCCCTGTTCCGTAGTTTTTGGCAAATCTAATTCTCGCCTTGATAATTTCACCTTTTACATAATATTATTAAATGAAACAAGCATGTAGCTTTCCCCCCAAGGGTTAGTTTATCACGCTTTAGAATCATTATAGCTTGGTTTCCATAGTTGGTTTCTTTTGGTAACTGAGTACTATTCCATTGTATGGATGCATACTCAGTTCTGTTACAATGCTTATTTAGAAAAATGCAGATTATTCCAGTACGGCTGCTGCACGAATAAACAATTAGAGCATAACAAAAAAATATTTGCTTCATTAGCAAGCCGCATAAAAATTCACAAAGTACACACACACACCCTCAAACACCTCCACCTCCCGTAGTTCACTGCTTGTGTTGTCAGTTTCATCCTACCCACATCTAGAGTTATGATTTCTGATTTCAGACAACCGTACTTCTACTACTTTATGATAGGTTACAAACCTCAACTTTTCTGACACCCACTTCCATAGCAAATTTAGATCTTTTTAGAAGTGCCATATTTATTGTGCTACTTAATATGCATACAAATGGTCTTACTGTTTTTATCAGGACTGTAGTTTTTAAAAGTGTCCCTGATGAAGTCCTGTGCGTGGCGCCCTAACTTTGTTTCCTTTGTCAGTCCTGTGGGTCTAGTTGTATGATTTTGCACAATGTTGTGATTTTTTCTTTTTTTTAGCTTTTTGAGACAGGGTCTCACTGTGCAGTTCAGGCTGGCCTGGAGCTCACTTTATAGTTCAGGCTGATCTTGAACTTGGAATGATCCTCTTGCCTCAGCCTCAATGCTATGGTATTTAGAATTGCATTTTTCATGTTACAGCAGAATTGAATTGATCACAAGTTGTTTATCCCACCTACCGTTGGATAGACCTTTGAGCTATACTTGAAGGAAGTTTGGGGTTATTTTGAATATAGTTAATATTTTTTTGTACACATCTTGGATGAAAGAAGATGGATGGTGAAAAAAGAATAGTAAATTTATTTTAGTTTTTTGACCTTTATTAGTTCGTGTTTGTAGTACATAATGACTGGATTCACCATAGGGTATTGGTACATGTACATAACACATTTTAATTCTAGGGGGAGCAAATGTAAAGGTCCTGATGTGAGTGGAGCCCTGCTCATGTCTGCATATTGAGGACCTGGCATAAAGTTCATTCTTTGTTTGCACCCCAAACCCTGGATTACCTGTTGGCTTGATCTTGGTGTCACTGACAAAGACCTCCTCTGGATCAACATTTGTTTTCAGTTCTAATAGGAGCATAAGAGACAGTAAGAGAGGGCAAATTTTCATTTTATTTGGAAGCAAAATTAAGGGTATTTGATATACTTAGGTATGCAATATGTTGTGTTGGCTTTCCATTGCTGTAATAAATTACTGAGCTAGTCAGCTTAAAAAGAGAAAAGGTTTATTTGGGATCACAATGGTGGAAGTTTCAGTCCATGATCAGTTGGCTCCACTGCATGTGGGTTAATGCAAGGAAGCACAGCATAGCAGTTTTTTAAAAAAATTTAATTTTATTGGTACACTTTTGGTATACATAATAATCACAATCATCACAGGAAATTTGTCCCTGTACCTATTATATCTTGATTTTTCTTCCCCCCCCCCCGTGTCCTCTCCCTCCCTTCAATCCTTTGTTCTCTCCTTATTTACAAAATGCTTGCTTCCCTTTTTCCTTCTAGTCTCTTATTTTTCCCTCTCCTTCCCTTCTCCTGCCTTCTCCTTTGTTCACCTTTCCATCTGAGCATGTTTTTCCTACTTCCTAATATTTATTATCATTTTGATCCTTATTTGCCTTTTCAGTTTCTCACACAAGAGAAAGAATGTGATATTTAAACATGTGTCCAATTTATTTCACTTAAAAATATAGACTCAAGGTGCTTCCATTTACCTAAAAATGTCTCAGGTTTATCCTTTGTGGCAGAGTATCACTCCATTGTATAAAAAAATCTTATATTTTCTTTATCCATTCATTCAATGTGGGCATCTAGACTGTTTCCAAGATTTAGCCCTTACAAATCATGCTGCTGTAGACATGGGTGCTCCTATAGCGCTGTGATATAATATCGTAGGAGTTACAATGTGGCAAAGAGAAACTATCCACCTTGCAGCTGGAAAATGTACAGAAGAGGAGAATGAGGAGGAGGAGGAGGAGGAGGAGGA